AGAGCTCCTCCCTCTGCTTCAGGGAATGGTGAGGGAACACAGGCAAACCTCACCAATGGAATACAAATCAAAACCATCATGCACTGCTCTGGCTTTCCTTTGGTCATTTATTTCCCTAGTCAGAATAATACGGTAACACCAAGATCAGAGAAAATAAATTGTACTACCAACTGTACTCTCCCAAAGAGCTTCTCATACCTGCACAGGGGCAGCAATAGCAGAGGAAAGTGTGTGCAAATCATGTGCCTCTATGAGCTCCCCATAAGTGATGTTAGTTTGTATCCAAATGCCCTTTTCAAACACAAGGAAGTTCAAGCCACAGTGCCTCAATGGAAGGTTGACAAGGAAGAAGGAGACTGGAATCCTCAAATCTACAACCCTAAAACATCACCCCTCTTCATTCCCATGGGGCAAGAGTCTCCATTCCTAACACAGACATGATCAGAGGGCTGCACAATAAATACCAGCCTTGGACACTAATGACCAATGCTGGAGTCCATGAGATGTGTCTCTCCTGAAAAGCATCTGGGCCAGGATAGTCAAAGCCATATTTGACAGGCTCATCCAGGATATTACGTCCTTTGATGTCGTTAAAAACACTGGAACAACACTTTTTTTTTTCAGAGCAGTTGAGTTTGCTTTCAATGAAGGAGCAGTGGTCCTGTCTGTTCCTATCAATAGGGAGACAAAACTGAAGAGTTCCACCCAAGGTTACTTGTTCTCAACCTGCATCTGTTCAATTATGTTGATAAGGCTCTCTAAACCAAACACATAACCCATGTCAGGGCCATCGTGCACTGTGGGATCATCCCGAAAACCTTTGAATGTGCTGTGTGCAAAGTCAATCATACGCACATCCACCTTGGGCTGGCGGGCAAAAGATTCTGTGCTGCTGCCATCCTGTAGGCTCTCTGGGAGAGCGATGTCCACTTGCTTCAGACGCATTTCTGCTCTGCGCTCCATGTATGTCTCAGACCAGTCGTCCTTCCCATCATAGATGATGAGCAAGGAGCTGGAGTAGAAGCGGTAAGAGGCCTGCCTCTCCAGTACAGCTTTCAGGCTGTACAGCTTGCTAAGGATGGGCTCAAAGAGGTCCTTTCGTAGCTCTATACCATTGTGCAGATACTGGTAGAGAGCATTGCGAAAACCCTCAGTGGAAAGACCTCTGCCATAGTATTTATTCCTGCACAAATAATGGCCTGTATCCCGCTGGTATACCTATAAGACACAGAGAAAGCATGTATCAATTAGGATGTATAGCCAAATTTCAAAAATCCACAAAGTAATAATAATCACTCATCTTCTTCTACAGTAGTCCAGGCAAACATCTGCACTTTTCATGAGACCTGGCCAAAAAAGAGCCACATTGTGTTTGGCAAACAGTGAACATAAGAACACAAGAGAAGCCAATGTTGGATCAGGCCAATGCTCCATCTAGTCCAACACTCTGTCACACAGTGGCCAAAAATACCAGGTGCCATCAGGAGGCCCAGGACACTAGAAGCTCTCCCACTGTTGCCCCCCCCCCAATCACCAAGAATACAGAGCATCACTTGCCCCAGACCTAGATTTCTTATCTATACCTTGTGGCTAATAGCCACAGATGGATCTCTGCTCCATATGTTTACCCAATTCCCTCTTGAAGCTGTCCATGCTTGTAGCCGCCACTTCCTGTGGCAGTGAATTCCATGTGTTAATGCCTCTTTGGGTGAAGAAGTACTTCCTTTTATCTGTTCTAACCCAACTGCTCAGCAATTTCATTGAGTGCCCACGAGTTCTTGTATTGTGAGAAAGGGAGAAAAGTACTTCTTTCTCAACCTGCTCTATCCCATGCATAATCCTATAAACCTTGATCATGTCACCCCTCAGTCATCATTTCTCCAAGCTAAAGAGCCCCAAGCGTTTTAACCTTTCTTCACAGGGAAAGTGTTCCAACCCTTTTATCATTCTAGTTGCCCTTTTCTGCACTTTTCCAATGCTATAATATCCTTTTTGAGGTGTGGTGATCAGAACTGTACACAGTACTCCAAATGAGGTCGCACCACTGATTTATACAGGGGCACTATGATACTGGCTGATGAGATGGAGATGCCCTGCCATATGGCAATCAGAAAAAAATGTTACCAAGGTCTCTTTCTCTATTAAAACATACCCAAAGCCAGAGTGGGACAAGAAATCTTGTGGCTTAAACAGATGAGGGTATTAACAGCCAAAAAGGACAGAACATTTCACCTCAACAGTATGTCTCACCAGCTTTGTTTCCGCTCTCAAAGTATGAAGGATTATACATTATGCTAGCATATATAACAAATGTATGCACAATTCCCATTCAACACAAAATGTGTTACAATGAAGTTGGCCATAACACACAAGCCCCTGCTGTGTAGGACAGCACAAGAGAAAACTGCTAGTCAGCCAGCTGAATGCCTCACTAACCAGTAACTCTCACTGGATTAAAAAGCCAGTATTTCCAGAAACCAGCAAAAGTCAGTTTCTTTCAAAAAAATTAGGTCCTCAAACGCCACTTTACAAATACAGAATTACAGGTTACAGCAAAATCAGTTAACCTTTATTTTTTCCTTTAAAAAAGAAAATACTTTAAACAATCACCATCCAGCAGAGGGCACTAGTATGCAACCTATGAGGGTACGTTTGGACAGCAAGGGAGGATCTATGGTGTTACTCATCGCAACAGTAACAGGCAGGCCTACCTGAGGAAGTCCTATGAACAGACTGTCTTTTTGTTTTGCTTTGTTTGGAGTGCAATCTGCCCCTTCCTCGGATGGGAGAGCAGCACAGCCTCCTACTGTTTTATGAGATAATGCATTTCTTTTTATCCTGCCCCACAACCAGATAGCCAGTTTATATCCCTGACAGGCAGCTACTTTTTCATCTGCAAGCCAAATGGGCTGTTAAAGTTAATGGATAGCAATCTCAGAATATGCCACATGAAGCCTCATTCCCTATATGGGAGAATGAGCACAATTTACTAACCTGCCTATTCTTTATGCTGTGACAATTCAGCTCATTAGGACACACTAAGAGCTTTGGACAATGTAGGTAATATCCTACACCAACTATCCTCTTCCTTCCAAAAATGTCCACTGATAATTATGCTATAAAGTAATTTTATTAATGTTAATATCAGATAGTATGCCTTTTCCATGTAATTATGCCCAACTGTTTTACATATTTTAACCTGGCTACATTAACCACTGTGTCAAAGTAACTGCATGCCAATAAAGAACATTCAAGTGATGGGCATATACATTTCTGATGTTCTCAGAGTATGCATGGTACAGGACTACTTTTTGTATTGAAACAGAAATACCAGACCATGAAGCCTCCATAGACCCTGTATGCCTTCAAACTAGAACCACGAGACTAGAAATACATTTTTATGTGTAGACATGTATTTTAATGTGTATGTATTTTTATGTGTACACATTTATATGCATTATATATGCTTTTAAAAAAGTAAAGAGATTCTCGGGATTCTATAGCGGGAACCAGATTCTGTCACATGCACGGCTGGCTATCAGTCCTGGCTATCGACAGATATAAACTGTACATCATTTTGATAGCACCCCATACAGTACCTGCATTCCACATACTCGAACACCTAGTGAGGCCGAGGTGCTCTGTGCACACTTCTTCATCTGTCGAGCAGCCTTCTCTTCAGAGGCATCATCTCCATGCTGTCTGGTCCCCATTTTCAGATCAAGCACACAGGGAAATTTGAAGTGATGTACCACATTCTCCAGCAAAAGGAATTCTAAGGAGCTGGTCAAGGAGAATTCCTCTCTTGGGAGCTCCAAATTTCAAGAACTGCCCTGCATGGTCCCTACAGAAGTTCTAAAGCTTCTCTTTCACTTTCTAAATGCTCTGGCAGAGAAGATACATTCAGACACAAAAAGGAAGCCAGTTAAAGGACATAGAGCACACAAAGCACACATACAAAACCACAAGGCAAGCTATAAATAAAAAAATAATAAAAAGGATCACAGTTAGCAGGAATATGAAGGAGACAAAGCCCCCTTCCAAAAGTTGGAGCCAAGGGTAAATGGCTACAACTGGCATTGGGATATTACTGATGTGATGCTGAAAAATGTGAGGGAAATGTGACTGAAGACTATGGGGAAGCAACATGCGCATGTCTGACACACAAGATACAGTCATGAAAGGACATGAAAAATTTCTTCCTTTTGGAGGATACTGTAGAGCTTTCGTTCCTTGGATTCTGAGCGCATACGGCTCAGCTGTTGCTTGTGGCAACGTAGACTCCATGGGTTATAGGTGATATTTTCAGAACTCAGGCTACTATTTCCATCAAGCATCTGAAACGGAACATCTGAATGGAGGTGCATCTTGAGGCTCTTCATCTCTTGGATGCTGCTGCTGGCACAATGGTACAGCTCACAGTTAAGAGTGCTGCTGTCACTGATATAAGTTATAAGCAACGCAACTATGTTTGCTAAACCATGTTAGTTTCTCTTGCAGTACAGCTCTAGGAGAATGGGGCATGCACACTGGCTGGATACCAAGCCCTAGCTGGCTGGATACCAAGCCTTGCATATACCTTAGGAGACACCTAGCAGACACATATAAGGGGCTGATCTCTTGTCAGCCACAGTTTTGTTGAAAGGCGGCTTCAGAGAAGCAACTTCTGAGCAGTAGTAAGTCTAAACTAAAGAAAAAGCAACAGAAGCACACAGTACCTTTCTGAGATCTCACAGGCCAGCCCTGCTTTTTCCTCTTTGTGCTCACTGGTACTGCTTGACCTGTTCAGACTCCTGCGAGAGTGTTTACGACGTGGCTGGTCCCTTTCTGGTACATCATCTGGCTCCAAAGCTTCACTCTCCACATAGGGGTATGCTACCAGGTTAATGTAGCCATCACTGTCTCCCTCGAAACAGACAGACACCACCCCTGCCAAAAACAAGTGGAATGGTTCATTCCTAACAGGCAATATTTCGGTGTGTATGAATAGCTACAAAACTGGCAAAGTAAGAACATGTCAAAGATGGGATGAAGGAGCTGGTAATCAAAAACATCAACAGGCTTCTGTGAAGAAATTTGAGGTTAGGGGGTGAGGAGATCTGAATTTTGCATCTTTTGCTTTTTGGCCCTGTGGCCACATCTGCAACTCTCTCCAGCTTGACTGTCTCTCATATCTGCAACAGAAATGTCTATCTGTCTTGGAACTGCACTATCTCCATCAAAACAATAAGCTTTTCAGATTCTTCTCTCTTCTGCATGTGTAATTTAGAAAAAAAGGCACAATGAGACATGTTCATAGGAAACAACATGTTTGATTTGAAGAATAAATGCATTTATAGAATTATTTAAGCTTGGTCCCCGATTACATTTTACTCTTACAGAGTGCATTTCTACCAGTAGAAGACAGAGAACAATTTTTGATCCCCCCCCCCCGAACAAACTCCAGCACACCCCACGCTGTTCCTGAGAATCCACCAGCTCATGGGGTCAGCACTTCATGGGCATGGCAGGCTGCAAGAGGAAGGGGGACGCTGGCAAGTTCCCTTACATGATCCCAGCCCTAGTCTTAGAATTAGTTATATAATAAGTTGCTGCCCTTAAGCCTGCACAGTAGCCAAACTCAAAGAAAGCCAGTCAGCTGAAATTGGCCCAGGTCAATTTACTTGGTTCTCAGCAAAACAACCAAATTTTAATTAAATTGTCACTGGGGGAGACAAGCTTCAGATTACACAACGCACACTGATTTCATAGTACAACACTATGATTCACAAATGGGATTTATACCCTTAACTTTATGGCAAGCAATTATATACATGCTTGCTTATGAGTAAGTACAACTGAAATAAACAGAACCTATTTCTGAATAAATATGCACAAAGCTGCAATCCTGGGGACCGTTCCATTATACTCAGTGGGACAACTCTGAGGAAACATGCTAAGTATCATGGTGCGTATGTCCTTTTAACACAGACTGTATAGGAACAAACTTTTCTGCTCTCTTGACAGCCCCATCTGCCCCTTTGGTTGGCTGCGGGCACTGGGACCCATCATTTTTTTTCTGCCTCTGGAACAGAACAGTCTAGGAGCCAATGGCTCTTCTCCAGGGCTTGGACTATTTGCCTCCTCTTACCCCACAGCTAAGTAGCAGCCAGGACTGCTAGTCTGCCTTAGCATGGTGGTTCAGAGGTGGGAAGAAGTCAGTCATCCCCCTAGAAACCATCCATCAACAGCTGAAGCTGTACCCATCACCAAGTTACAGCAGAAAGACTGGTCAGTTTCATCAGAGGAGGAAAGAGAAACTATTTTCAGTAGCAAGAACAAGAAATACTTTAAACCTCAGTGCCGCACCTCTCTCTTGGATTGTCTATGTACATAACATGCAAGGGTACATATTTGTAAGTTAACGCTATGCCTGAGCATGCGCACTTTATAACTGTAAAATTCTTACTGCTAGATGGCACCAACTTCATTATGGAGCATCACCACTTGTGAAGGAATCAAGGTGTGCAGCAACACATAGGCCTGGTATAGACTGGCTCCTGAGAATTCAGCAGTTGGCTACTTATGCTCTAGCTGACACAACAGCTGTGGCACCTAGAACTATAACCTTACACTACAAGAAGTGGACTGAACTCAAAAGTAGCCTTATAACAGGAATGCTAGTTTGCAAGTTGCAGGCTGGAATAGATACTGTTTTCAGGCCTTCTTGGCTTAAAAGGAAATTCAGGATAGAGCTGCAGATTCCAAAGTGGCACCAGAATGGAAGGTTAAATAAACTTTGCAGTCAGAATTCTGCCCATGAAAAAATAAACATTTCAGTGTATATGCTACAGGTGAAGTTCAAGCCATTATCTGTAGTGTCCGTACCCAGGTAAATCTTCCTCATACTTATAAGTCACTGCTGTCAATTTCCTTGCACAGCCATAACTTATTGCATACCAGCCTTATTGTTAAGTGGAATTACTTCAGGGTAAGACGCAACATATTTTTTTCTAGCTAAGAAACCCTCTTAATAATAACTGAATTATTGGCATGCCCTGTACTAAAATCATAAAGTTAGCCTGGCTTCCCCAACGTGATTAATAAAAATAAAACTGTGCATGATCAAGAGTCTGATCAAGAGTAATATTATATAAAAGTTATTTTACTGCGATATGGGGTACATTGTTTTCTTCTGAGACATGTTTATTTCTGCAGTACCTCCATTATAAGAAGAGCAATGCCCATTGATGGTGCCCCCCTTGTTCCCCCCATCATAATTCTGTTTAACAAAACATTTATTTAGTATCAATAGCTAGCTAAGCATTGCAGCAGACATACAGCAATTGGCCCCACATTTCATAAGCCATTTCCGAGTCCTCGTGATCTCTGCAAATAATGAGAACACACTGTACACTCCATTCCGCTTAGACAAACACAAGGCTGGTATTGTCTAAGGCTGTGCAAGATGCTGTTAAGTTAAGGTTAAGTATCTTTAGAAAACCAGGTGTGCTAAACACAGCTGTGGTGCTGCGTAAAAAAACCTAGGCTGCATTTGTCAAGCTTCAAGCTGTTGTCACCAAAATGAAGTAGCTTAAACCCTAGCTCTCCCAATAGACAGTACAATGGGAGACGTAAAGGAATGGATTCTGTCTGGCACTTATGAGTAACTGGAAGGAGAGGAAGGCCTAGCTCGCATGCCAGAGCCTTCCACACAAGGCAGTCTGCATGGCAGAAGCAACATATAATCCAACAGAAGCATGCAATTTCCTGGCAGTGACATGTGAAAACCAAAATTTTCCATGCTCACAGACATCACCAACCAAGAAAATGCATGGTCTCAAAAAGTAGGAATGCTTTGGATTTAAACCAGAGTCTCTAAAAATTCTGAAGGCTCACCTTTGTATTCGGGTGTGAATTCCTTCATTTCTGGAGGTAAGGACTCATAGAAGCGCTGTTCTCTGGTAATTAGAGGCTTGCACACAGTGTGGTCATCATAGCGCATCATGCTGCTGTGGCCGCCCACCTGATGAATGAAAGGCTCCAGCAGGACCCCTCTGCCTCCTGCGTGGGTTGTGTTCTTGCCATGCTTCCCCACCTCCATGGTTTGACAAACACACATTGCGTTGGGCACCAGTCACACACTTGGGGCATGGGGAGAGTTGCATGGGGTGGAAGGAGAAGTTTCTCAAAGATAAAAAACACCACCATTCAGATAGCCGAGTAAGCAAACACGTGCCAACCGTCTGCAAAACAGAGAGGAGATATCATGAAGCTTCGCCTACAAAGGCTATCTATATCCACCTCAACACAAGTTCTAACAGTTGTATATGGTATATTTCAAGACATCCATACTGAATTCTCCAAAAATCAATTTCTAGTGTTATGGCCTCTCTTAACACTCTACCATTTCTTAGGTCTACCAGCAATGCACACCTTTCCTTAAAAACTCGTTTATAGCTGGACTATCCCCAGCCCTGCTAGTAACACTTAACAGGGAGTAGAAAGATAACCACTCCTATATCTACAACTATGATATGTTATTCCATTTCATCGTCTGACAAAGTGTGCATGCACACGAAAGCTCACACCTTGAATGAAACTTTGTTGGTCTTAAAAGGTGTCACTGGACTCTTTGTTCTATTGATTCAGACCGACACGGCTACCCACCTTGAAGCTTCTTCTAGTTAGTATCTTTAAAAATCTCCTAATTATTTTACTGAATACACATTACTAGCTGTCAAATTCAAGCCTCCACAGCAATCTCTATCAAGAGCACTACACATACACAAAAGACGCCATGTATGTCCCAGAGATACTCTAGCTATTCCGCTAAAACTTCAGTTCTGACCATCTGCCCATGTAAGCTAACATCCTGCTTACAAGATGGGAAGCGTCAGCTGTTCCACACACCTGTTTGGTGCAGGATCCTTCTACAAGGACAGCAAGATATGACGCCAAGGACTATATCAGAGCTTGCTTAAGCATTATAACTCAACAGCTAACTTATGAGTGATGTGGCGCCTTAGCAACATACGTATCAAATGAAGCAGAAGGAAATAAACCAATTACCCTGACCAAGAGGAAAGTGAAACTAATGGAATCTCCATTTTTGATGGCAATATAATGGCAGAAGTGAAAAGTTAGCCGCTTTGAACTGTGGTACGTCTCTACTGAGAGGGAATGAAAGAATTTGAGCTCACTTTTGCATTTTATTAATGATCAGAAGATACAATTGCTGATGAGATTTATGAACAGGAAACCAAGAATGAGTGATAACCTGTCACCTCTTCAAAACAGCCTGGGTCTTTTAAAAGGACAAGTCAAATCTTCACTTGAAGTAAAGGTAAAGGTTTCCCTTGCTTGAAAGCCAGTTAAATTCAATGCTAGGGGGCGGTGCTCATCTCAGTTTCCAAGCCAAAGAGCCAGCACTGTCTGAAGACTTCTCCATGGTCATATGGCCAGCATGACTAAACGCCGAGGCGCACGGAATGCTGTTACCTTTCCATGGAAGAGTACTATTTGCAATTTCTTGCTTTCAAACTGCTAGGTTGGCAGGAGCTGGGGCCAGAGACAGGAGCTCACTCCGTCATGTGGCACTAGGGTCATGAACTGCCAAGCTACCGACCTTCTGGTCTGCAGCTCAGCATCTTAACCTCTGAGCCACTGCGGCCCCTCTTCACTTGAAGTACTAAACTGTTAAACAAAGATGACGAACTATTATGTCATCCTAGGTCTTCCATTTCAGTATCCTATACACCTGCCCAAATAACCTTCAATTCATGTGAACACTGAATTCATAGTTACAGAAATCAACTATGTTAAACAACTGAAAGAGACCTTTCAAATAACAAAGTTTGCTTCTCAAACACTGACACACTGATTGACTGTATACAGTTAGTACTAAATAGTAATGAGGGAGACTTAAGTTTATTTCTGCTCCAAACTAGTATGTCATAAACACATATCTGTTTTGTTTATTATTCTTCATGTATGTGTTTTCATCCACCCTCCTATATTATTTTCTAATATTTAACTTAAATATTAAGTTGTCTGGTATTTCACAAACCAGACTAAACCAACCTAAGATTCTCTGAGAGTTACACTCTTTATCTTCCTTTTCCTAATAAGGACGTGCTTCCCATATCTCAACAAATGGCTAAAATAGAAGGTGGCTGATGCAGACTAAAATGAGGTCAGTGTATGCTGATTGCCCATCAGATAGGTAGCTACTATGAAGCTTGAATTTGGCCTGTGATCCTGCACAAAGCTGGTTAGAGTTAGGATTCCTGCCTGGGAAAGCTTCAGGTGCTGATACACTTGCCATGCCTGTTTTATCTATCAGTGCTTGTATTACGTTAGTAAATACTGCTTGCATTCTGCAAGCACAGATTCCACCTGCAATGGGAAAACGCCTCCACAGACAGGGATCATTACAATATGTATCCTCCCCCTTCAAGCTTATGGCCAATGCTCCCTCTAAGCTGTGGAGTCTTGTGAGCAAAAATTCTACTTTGTGAGCTACTGGCATTAAAGTTGTGAGCGAGTGATTTGGCTGCCGCATAAATTAGTTTGCTCTGGAGCCATCCTTCCTGAGCTAAGACAAAAAATGTGTGAGCCGGAGGCTTAAAAACTGTGAGCTAGCTCACACTAACTCAGCTTAGAGGGAACACTGCTTGTGGCTTGTCACATGGTTATTTGCATTCTGGCCTGTATCTCTAAATGCTTCATTCTAACCAGCTTCAAATATGTGAAGGAAGAATTCCTAGGCCCAAGATTTCATTCCATCTGTCTATTCTACGTATGTGTTCTGCTGATCAGTACTTTGAAGCTAGGCTGGATCCAGCACAAGGTTCGTGCTTCTTCCTGGCTTTTCCCTCTTATCAGCAGTCCTTTCTAACCCCAGGAAAGACAAACCTTGGGGTTATAAAACTGGGAGGCTGCAGTGGGGAGGAAGAAAAATCAGCAAAGCTCCATTCATGGAAGACACAAATGGGAATGATTATACCTTCCTCCCCACTGCAGCCCCCCAACCTCTGCAGTTGTTACATCTCAGGGGTCCCACAGCCCTGAAGAATAAATTGTCCTATAGTCAGAGGGGGAAAATGGGAAAATGTGCTGACAGACTGCAGGATCCAATCTGTAGACTGTAGGTTCTGTATTTTTGAGAGGACAGGTGATGCATCCTGTTTTGAGACATTTCTAGCAATACAGGAGCCACATTACCGATTACCAATTTCCCCCTTTGTAACTGTTGTGGAAATATCACCACAATTTTGACATCACAGTCAGAGAATGAGCGAGTCAGCAAGGCCCAAGCGCCTTTACACTGTAACAGGTAATAAGAAACAGCACCCAACATTTCATATGCTTTATTGCACATGCAGGTAATCGCTCAAAAGTTTCTTTATCAAGTAAATACACTCAGGAGATCACAAACCTGATAAGCTGAAAGCAGTCTGCTATTACCAACTAATATCAGCTCATATAACTGAACAGTTAAGACAGAGAAAATCTTTAAAGCAACAAAAATGCTGCACATGCACTCTACAATGTGCTGCCACAGAACACCAGGTGGAGGGCACAATTACAAGCAAACAGCAGGTCAGATAGCCGTTAGTACCTCCCTCCAACTGTTTAAGAACTCACAAGACCAACTGCATCACTCATGCAGCCAGATATGCCAACCTTTCACTATTTGTCCTCAAAGACAGACTTCTCCCCTTGCTGTCTAGATGAGGGGCACAGACTCTGCCCAGTTCAACTGATCCACTCCATCCTATGCACAAATGTCAAGGGCGCTTCAGTCAAGGTCAGAAAGGCTATGGTGGGAGAACCTCAAGCCAGCAAGGAGCAGCTTTCAGGGGTCTTTACTTGCTGACATTTCTCTTCCAACGGAGAAGCAAGAGAAGAGAGAGGCAACAGGTGAGGAAAAGGTTGTTCTAATGCCATCCCACATTGAAAACAACAAAACTGTAGCCATAAACACTCCCGAATGATTGGGTCAAAAGAAGGAGTGTTGTACACTACAGCGCTCCACCCTCCAGCTGTACATGGGAGACCAAGCAAACTGTCATTCATCACTGAATCCTGAGCCAAGTACTAAAAAAATTCAAGGGGATGTACTCCCAAGTAAGAATTCCTGAACTCAAGATGTATAGGTTAGATAAATTGGTTTCAATGTGTAGAGCAGATACATTGGGATTCCCCTGTGATTGCTTGAAGATAATCCACTCATTTCACATAGTAAGCTACTCTCACACATTAGGGTCACCACGCAGATCTGCCATCACACTGAAGCGTTTCCACTGACCTCTATTATGTAAGAATCAACTTAAGTGTTCTGAAATTGCATCAGGGAAATATATAGTAGGGATTCCAAAGTAGCTTTAGTTTTTAAAGAACGGAATTCTAACCTTTCAGGGAAATATATAGTAGGGATTCCAAAATAGCTTTAGTTTTTCATGTTGATTATAAAGCGTGACACTGAACGTTACTATCAGAACAGCAAACCTTTCTGTTTATTTTAAATACCAGTTAGCTGAATTTTGCAAAGTAGGGCAGTATCTGAATAGTAAGACAGAGCAACCAAAAAAATAAAAATAAACCAAATATGCATCTTGAAGTGTTTGCCTACTCTAAAGAGTTCTTATAGTGCTGAAATAGATTTTGGGTTCTCACAGCAATCACTAATTTAGCACAGTAGTGTTTCAACGCTTGCAAAACCTTACAAGGGATCAAGGAATTACTTCATTACATAGGGGTTCAAAGCTAGTCCAAGTAGGAGTTCGGGGTGGGCTCATGGGGGATTTGTCAGAAGACCAATAATCTACAGCTAAAGCAGCCCCCTGTAATAATATCATTATACATAACTGGAATCTACTGAACATATCAGTTGGTCTATGCCTGCTGCTATAATCCCACTTAACTCCCCATACTTGGCATGATGTGGCTGCAAGACACTGACTGGGCACACAGCATGGCTCACTATGAGGCAGCTTTGGTTGTAGGCCAGAAAGATTCCTCATGACATTCACACACCCCACACTCCAAACAGCTCCTGCTGCTTTGCAAGAGGTGGCACAAGTCAATCCCTGTCTAAGCCCGATAGTCTGGATCACATCTCCTGGTGTTTAAAATGAAGCAAATTCAATTTCAAACAGTCAAATATGTTTACAATGACAATGTTTAGTAACCTTTTAAACAAAATACTCATAGCTGAGATTTGAGTGGAAACATAAGGATTTCAGCTAGTCTTTAAAAACATCCTTTAAAGAGGCAGAAGTTAAAGTTAAGATACTTCCTCAATAAATACACAAAAGTCTAAATATTACTGTACATACCATATTTTAGTTCTTAATTTAGATCCATTATGGAAAGCAGAGACAGATTATGTAAAATAATACAATATGTTCACAATTTGTTCTCTGTAGCCACTTTTTAACGGTCCAAAAAACTTTAAAAAAACTCTGACAGTTTCAATGGAGAAACAGGTCTCATTAAGAACAATGACTTCTCTCCACTTTGGAACTGAATTTATTCAGGCACAATTAGTTCTCTCCAATGAATCATCAAGACACTGTTCTGACTGAATCACAGCAATATCTTCCAAAAGGTTTCAAGATTGTGAAACCTGACACAGACATTATTTAGAATATGTTGTTTTTGGCAGCCCCATTTCATTCAACCAACACACTGTTAGGGAACAAGCCTGATATTTGTTTTATGGACTGCTTATTGCTACACAATGGACTGTGCATATACACATAGGCTCAGAGAACTGTACACTTTAGGTCACCTGTTGTGATGACACACATAGAGGGTGCCTGCCCATACCTTACATGTAAATAAGGTTTCAGCAACACAGTTGCACAGCCTGATGAAGAAGCACAAATCTCCATTACTGTTAGCAATGAAACAACTACTTTGGGAAGAGACAGCCACCATAGCAAAGCTGCTTGTGGTCACGTATCACCCATCAACTGCTTTGCTCCTGAGCTGGAATTTCCTGCCAGATGGACATTTGGTTACCAAAGGAACTGGCCAACTTCATCAGCACTACAATGAAGCATCCTGACGCCTGGATTTCACACCTGTCCAGATGCCATACTTCAAGTAAGGTTTTAGGTTACAATATTGGCCATCCCTCCTAGGTAACCTCCCCTCCCTACCTGCAACCAATAGGATTGTTTTTGGGACGGACTAAAAGGTAGGTGGGTCAAGGGGTTGGCACAGTTACCGCCCATCTCTTGAACCCACTATAAAAGGAGAGAACCAGTCACCTGGCCCCTCCTACCTGGCCAGATAGCATCTCCCCCCCGCAACAACCCCTGTCTGCTTTTACCCCTCTTAAGTCCCACTTGCTATCCCCAACCCTTGCCTCTACCATTGATCTCTTGATCTGCAGTCAAGAGACCCACACGTTCCGGCTGGTTCTGGTCGCGTGGACTCCCCTTTGTTTTCCGTTTCTTCCCATCCATTCTTCCTTGGAACAACCAAGCTGCAAGACAGATAAGTATCGCCCTCATCACCCCTACCTGCTAATGCAACTGTGCTTATTTCCTACTGTAATTTTTAGGAACTTGATTGGATGTCTGAGTACATCAGCATTGTTTGTATGAGACATATTTTTAAGTAAAAGACATCTATTTTAACTACAACAGCCTCGAATCCTTTACTGGTAACCCTTGGTGGGATCAGGACTTTGGTATAAATTGGCAAGAACCCATTTATTTATTACCTTAGGCTTTATAAATTGCCAATTGCTGTAAATAAAGCAATTCAGCTAACAGGAACTGGAGGCATCACCGGGATTGCTCTGCGCGTGCGACAGTCAGCGAGTCGACACGCTGTCTCTCGGACGTACAGACATAGAGGGGACCAGTGAAGGTTGTGTGAAAGGTTGCTGTCTGCTTGCCTGGCTCTAGCAGAGCACCCTATCGTGGTAGGGTGTCCTTGTCTCTTTCTGTCCTGAAATCCTCGGAGAAACTCTGCCCTGCGGCTTCCGGTCTTTCGTGGGTGGGAGCCGAGACGAATAGTGTACGATACGTTAGCCCACAGTTGCAGCAAGCACTACATACACGCACACACACCCAAACTTCCCTGAGAGCGAGGCGGCAATCAAAAAGGGAAGTTCTCACTCTTAGGTCGGCTTTGCAAACAAAGCGACGCCGTGGTAGAGGTCCCCACGTCAGACACATTGTCTGGAAACCTCCAAAGCGAGTTAGAGGTAACCTCGCCTAAGGGTAGGAAGCCCCAAACCTCAACAGCAATAAAAGAAAGCACAATAAGCATAATGCGAGTAGATAAATTGGGTACCTGCCTTCGATGGCAGGGGGCACCCTCCTCCTCCTTGTGGGGTGTGCAGTGGCGGCGGCGGAACAACGGAGTGGTTGGCGAGCGAAGCGGCGGAGCGATCAGCAAGCAGCCCTGGCGATCTAGTGATGTTGAGCGACGGAGACTGGGCAGAGGCAGAGTCGTGGAGGCGCAGGGCCGTGACGGCGCGGCGGAGCCAGCAGGACATAGCCGGAGCTGTGGCTGGTGCGTGGCCGCGCCCCAGAATAAAAGCCCACCAGAGGAAGTCACTGGAAGCAAGACTCGTCCCATAGGAAGCAAGACCCGCCCCGAGGCGCCAGGAGGTTGACCGCCAAGAACACCTGAAGCCCGCTGGAAAAAGAGCCAACAAGAGCTGCCTGGGTGCTGGTAGGCTAACACTTCCCCCCAGTTAATGTGGCCCTAGGTAAATCGTATGTAAACCGCTCAGAGACCCTTCAGGGTTCGAGCGGTATATAAACTGAAAGTTAAATAAATAAATAAATAAATTAAACAGCTGGTTAGCGGTTACCCAGTCAGAGAAGTGTGGCCTTGGCCCCCCGTACTCTCAAAACCTGCACCTAGGTTCAAGATGTGCCTTGGGTGGGAGGGAGAGACCCCTGCCCTAAACTCAGGCTCCAGACGTGCCGTGGACAAGTGGATAGGGTCCCTTGTACCTAAACTCAGGCTCAGGAGAGAGAGAAAGGGAGAGTCCCCCCCCACCCGTTTCTAAACCATAGAGAGGGTTCGTAGGTTGACCCTGGAACGCCGGATCAAGGAATCCCGTTCCCAAAACCTTTTCTCCGGGGACCGAGGTCACCAAGCACAGCTTGAACTGCCCCAGAGCAGAAAGTAACGAAGCTGCAGGACCAACTCGTGAGTCGTAGGGTGCCCACAAGTCAGTTTTCTCCGAGTTTTAGAATACTTGGGAACCAAGCCTCGATGATGGACACACTCAGGAGTCTTTTCTCCCAATGCGCGTCCGCTATTGGAACGCTCGCCACCATCGGTTCATCCGACAGCAGCAATCCACTTGTGTCAACTGACCACCCCCGGCTGTGGGACTTCTTCCCCTTTGGAGACCCACTCTTCCTGCCCATTGCAGCATGGATGGTGTGTTTCATCTTGGGTTGGATTGCCCACAGACATCAGGTATCTAAAATAATAGCCAACTGCAAGCACATCCTGGAGAAGGAGATGGAAAATGTTAGGAAACTGGCCGCCACACAAGCGGCCACCCTAGTGGAACACGCCAATGAAGTTAAAAGGCTGCAGATAGAACCTGAGAGCCAGCTCCAAGCGTTAAGAGCAGAGCACGCTAGCGAAGTTTCAAACTTAGAAGCAGGACATGAGAGAGCTAAAAGTCATGAGAGAAGAACACACCCGAGAGTTGGAATCCCTAAGAAGGGACCATAAAGCCGAGAGCGAGAGATCTCAGGCAGAGTTGGAGAGACAGAAATCCGAACACATTCACGGGATTGATTCACAAAGAAACTACTATCAGGAGTTATTGG